AGCCAAACCGGTTGGGGCCAATATTATATTATATTATACTAGAGGCCCGGTGCACAAAAATTTATTTGTGCACTCGGGGGGGGGGGGGGGAAGGGGGGTCCCTCAGCCCGGCCTGTGCCCTCTTGCAGTCTGGGAACCCTCAGGAGATAACGACCTGCTGGCTTAGGCTTGGTCCCGGGTGGCAGAGGGCAGGCCCAATCCCTAGGTGCAGCCCCTGGTCGGGCTCAGAGCAGGGCTGATTGGGGAGTTGGGGCACCGCCCCCTGTCACACTCAAGGCAGGGTCGATGGGGAGGTTGTGGCGCCACCCCCCGTCATGCACAGAGCAGGGCCCATCAGAGTGTTGGGGCTCCATACCCTGTCACGCACAGAGCAGGGTCGATCAGGGGGTTGGGGAGCTCCACCTTGTCATGCACAGAGCAGGGCCCATCAGGGGGTTGGGGAGCTCCCCCCTGTCATGCACAGAGCAAGGCCGATCAGGGGGTTGAGGAGCTCCCCCCGTCACTCACAGAGTAGGGCTGATAGGGGAGTTGGGGCACCGCCCCCTGTCACACACAGAGCAGGGCGGATCAGGGGGTTGGGACGCCGCACCCTGTCACACTCAGGGCAGGGCTGATGGGGAGGTTATGGCTCTACCCTGTCACACACAGAGCAGGGCCCGTGGGGGGGGGGGGGGGTGTTGGGGCGCTGCACCCTGTCACACACAGAGCCGCAGGGCGATCAGGGGGTTTGGGTGCTGCCCCCTGTCACGCTGATCTGGTGCCAGGAGGCCTTGCGGCTCCGCTGATCCCGGTGCCGGGAGGCATATTACCCTTTTACTATATAGTATAGAGGCCTGGGGGCCGGCTGGTTTGCCCTGAAGGGTGTCCTGGATCAGGGTGGGGGTCCCCACTGGGGTGCCTGCCCAGTCTGGGTGAGGAGCTGAGGGCTGCTTTCAGGCTGACAATTGACTGAAGCTCCCAACCACTCCTTTTTTTTCTTTTTCTTTTTCTTTTTTTATTCTGGGCCAGCTTTAGCTCTGGCTCTAGCTCTGAGGCTTCCACTGCTATAATCGAAACAATGTATAACTCTAGCTCTGAGATCCCAGCTGGCTGAAAGCTTTTTTCTGGGGTTTTGTTTAGCTTCTATATTTGCAACATAGTTTCTTAGAGTTGTAGCTCAGAGGCCGGCAAGTCAGGCGGGGAACGTTGCAGTCTGCAGTCACTGGAGCAAGCAAGCCTCATGTTCGCCTCCAGCTGCCTGGCTGCCGGCCGCCATCTTGGCTGACAGTTAATTTGCATAAGGATATGCTGATTAGCCAATGGGAAGGGTAGTGGTCGTACGCCAATTACCGTGTTTCTCTTTTATTAGTGTAGATGATAGAGGGGTTGATTCTCCAAGAAGACATAACACTCCTTAATGTGGCTGCACTAATAGCAAAGTAGCACACTGAGGCAAAAGCTGATAGAACTGCAAAGAGAAATAGAGGACTCCACTATTTTGGTTGAACACCCCTCTATCAGAAACAGATCCAAAAGGCAAAAAATCAGCAAGGACATATTTGAACTCAACAGCACCATCGAACAATTGGACACAACAGACAATTGCAGACTATGCAGAATACAGTTCTCAAGCTCACATGGAACATTTCCCAAGATGGACCACATTTTGGGCCCTAAAGTACACGCTAACAAATGTAAAAGAATAGAAATCATACAATGTCTGCTCTCAGACCACAGTGGAATTTAACTAGAAATCAGTAACAGACAAAATCCCAAAATACTTGTAGATTAAGTAATACACTTCTAAATAACACATGGGTCAAAGAAAAAAATCTCAACAGAAATTTAAAAAATAATTTGAAGTAAATAAAAATAAAACCAAAATTAGTGTTATGCATTAAAGCAGTGATTTGAGGGAAATTTATAGCATTGAATGCATATTAGAAAAGACGATCTAAACCAATAATACAAGGTTCCCTTTTAGGAAACCAGGAAAAGAAGAGCACATTAAATCCAAAGTAAGCAGAGGAGGACAATAAAAAAAATTAGAGCAGAATCAATGACATTTTAAATAAGAAATCAATAGAGAAAAATCAACAAAACTAAAAGCTGGTTCTTTGAAAAGATCAATAAAATGTATAAGCTTCTAATCAGGCTAAGAAAAAAAGAACGTTGTTAAAATAAGAAATAAAAGGGGATATCACCACAGATCCCACGGACATCAGAAGGGTAACAGAGGAATACTATCAACCATGCCCACAAATTTAACCACCTTCGAGAAATAGAAAGCACTGGGCTAGGAGGGGTCACTGGTCAATGCTACGCAACATTCAGGGAACAGATTACACAATTATCTGTGGGGCTTTCAGAGACAAAAGCAGACAGAACACAGACTTCAAGCCACTATGGAGCGACAGGAATCCAGACGGAGGGGACTGGCAACAAATAAGCATCAACGGAGAACCGAGACGGTACTGTAACCACGGGGCGTCTACAGGTTACACCGCGAATCCAGACAGACCTTCCCTCCACCTCCGACCCGCTCTGCGGCCCTCGGCGAGCTGCAGTCCCTGCTTCCGGTCCCCCGTCCCGGGCCCCGCCCCCCAAGTCCAGAGCCCCGCCCCCAAGTCCAGGGCCCCGCCCCCCAGGTCCCGGGCCCCGCCCCCGGCGCGCTGCAGCTCTTGCTTCCGGCTCCCAGTCCCGGGCCCAGCCCTCAGAGGCGCCGCCGAAGGCTCCGCACGCTGGCCTCGCTTCCGGCGCCCAGACGGAAACGTCACTTCCTGTTTTTTCCAGGGGGCGGTTCCGAGGTGAGTCACTGTGCCAGTACCTAAGATGGTCGCTGGCCCATTCACCGCAATGGCCAATGGAGGAGAAGCAGGCGCGAACCCGGAGTTGCCCGGCTCCGCCATGGCAGCCGGGGGCGTGACTTCCGGCGGCCCGAGCCTGCGAGTCGGGTAGGCCGGTCCGGCGCAGGCGGCGGCTGACAGGCGCTCCTCCTCCTCCTTCTCCTCCTCCTGTCCCTTCTCGTTCTCCTCCTCCTCTTCCGACGGCGCGGCTGGTGCCCAGGCGGACTGTCGACCCCCAGCTCGCGGCCCTGCAAGGCTCCAGGGCCGCTCTGGGGGATGGACCAGGGGAAGATGGACGAGAATGAATGGGGGTACCACGGCGAGGGCAACAAGAGCCTAGTTGTGGCTCACGCGCAGGTGAGCGACAGACGTCGGCGTGTCCGGGACCTTCACCCTGCCCGACCGTTTCCGCGTCCCCCCAGCACCCCGCGGTGCGGGTCGGTTCCGCTCCTCCCAGACCCCTGCCCGTGTCCCCCCAGAGCCACACCTTCCCCCTCGCGTCAGTTTGCGTCCCCACTTCGTCACCCCCTCCCCCAAGTCGGTGCAGCGGCCCCAGTGTCCCCCCCGCCAGGTCACCTCCCGTCCCTCGGGTCAGCTCCGCGTCCCCCCAGCACCCTCTTGGGTCGCTTCCGCGTCCCCGCAGTGTCATCCGCCCTCCCGGGTGAGCTCCCTCCACTCAGTGTCACCATCCCCTGTCAGTTTCGCCCGGCTCCCGGCCCCCGGACTGCTGGCCGCTGTTGGGCAGAGGCGCGCGCGGTGGGAAGAGCCGGAGCCGTGGGCTCCCGCGCCCTCCCGCCGGGCGCAGCTCCGGACCCCTGGAGTTGCGTGGAGCATGCCAGACGCTTTGATCGGGGAGGCTTTCCTCGACCCCTTTTTGACAAAATCTTTGAGAATTGAGAGTTTCCCCTTTTTTAAGCCTCCCTTCCTTACTCCTCCCTTTCTTAGTGAGGGTGAGAGTTTCAGAAAGCGCTGTAAGAACTCCCGGGGAGGTGACCCGGGAAGAGAAGCTGTGCACTTGTGCGAAGGCCCAGGTCTCCCCGACCTGCCGCCGGCTGACACCAGCGGCAGGAATGCAGTGGCTGGGGGAGGGGTCAAGAGCAGAATCCCAGTTCCACCGGCCCGGCCCAGTCCACGTTTCTGCATTTGCAAAGGGAACTAGTAACAGAACCCCCTTTGTGTAATTGCTAGAAAGATGAGGGAGCAGGAGCTGGACAAGTTATGCCTGGCAAGTGAGGCTGAGATACCTGCCCAGTCCACGAGCTCTACGGGGTGGCGCCCGGCCCTGCCATTCCAGTGCTGGGTGCGCTGGGTCGGCTGTAGGGTCAGTTGCAGTCACCCTGGCGACCCCTATGCACCGCCACAGTCTGAAAACGTAAGAACTGAGACTATCCGCTTTGCTCAGGATCTTTAGATGAATTAATAATGGACACAGCTCAACCTGAAGCTGTTCTCTGTGCAGGCAGCTGGGCCCCGTTGTGTTTCAAGGTCAGGCAAAGCATGGGGTATTCCAGCATGAGTCCCTTTTTGTTGTTGGGTTACTGTGGTGATGCACAAGCCTCTCACAAAACCAGTACTCATCTTCCAATTCCTTAGTGAGACTGGATAGTGTATCTTCATCTGGAGTAAAGCTAAGCTTTCTTAGTGGGGGCTAATGTACTGAGTTTCAAAAAGACTGTTGGACAAAGGAGCAAGTTCCAGACTCGGAATACTACCAACCATGCCCACAAAATTAACCACCTTCCAGAAACAGAACGCACTGGGCTAAGAGAGGTCACTGGTCAATGCTACGCAACATTTAGGGACTAGTTTACACCAACTACCTTCCAAGGTGGAAGGTCAGAGGCATCAGGCACTCACACGCCTTCGCCACCCCTGACGAGGGCTTGTCCACCTCCAGGGTGGTTGCCCGCCCCACCTTGTTGCATGCCTGTTGTTGGGGTGGTGGGTTTTTTTCTTTCTTTTTCCCTTTTAAACTCAGTCACCAGGCTGCCCTGGACCCATGGTTTTCATTCTGTATTTTAAATCTAAATTTGCTCTGCTGTGCTCATGCCTGGCTGTTGTGGCTCATCATTTGAACCTGAAGATGATCTTTGTAAGTAGTCTTGTAAGAAAGTGTTCCTACCAAGTGAAGGCACTGAGCGAAGGGAGGACTGTGCCCCTTGGATGTGAAGAAGCCTTTGTGCTTTGCCTGGGCCTGAGGACCAGGGAGGAGAGAGTCCTGGAAGGCAGCCTTTCAGGTTTGTCCTGTGCCCACGGAGAGGGTGTGTGCAAGTGGGAGAGAGATGGACGACTGAGCACAGGATTCCCTCACCTGCGGGTGGACTCCCCAGACGCCCTCATTCATTCCAAGGCAGAGAGCTGCCTTCCCCACTTTTTGTTTTTAATGTATTTTTGCTTTCAGAGAGGAAGGGAGAGGGAGAAATAGAAACATCAATGATGAGAGAGAATCATTGATCAGCTGCCTCCACGCCCCACACTGGGGATCGAGCCCGCAACCCAGGCATGTTCCCCGACTGGGAATCGAATCACAACCTCTAGTCCATAGGTCGACACTCAACCACTGAGCCACACCGGCCAGGCCCCACTTTTTTCTAGATCAGGAGATAGTCACTTTCTTGGAGAGGGCATCATTTACTTTCTGATTGAAAGGTCCCTATAAAGTGAGCAATCTGTTCTCTACTCACCAGCTCAGAACACTGCGTGCCTTCAGGCAGCCAGTCCTGCAGCCTGGCATCTGCACTGAAGGAACATGAGATGAAAGACAGACAGCCTTCCAGGGGTCAGGAGCTGTGAGGAGCATGGGGCTTGTAAAATGGGGCCTGGAGACAGAAGAGCTAAGTGCAGGCCATAGGAGGACCGTGGCATGGGGGTGGTCTCAGGGCCCAGCGTGAAGAAAGGAGAGTGCGAGACCCTAATGGCAGACCAGTTCCCTGGCAGATTGCTGTCAGCTTCCTCGTGGCCCCTTCAGACATCCTGTGTCTGTCACCCTCAACCTGGTGCTCAGCACCCTTGGGTCCAGCTGTGAAGTTTAACCCTTTCCCAGGCCCTGGCCCTTGGCCCTTGGCCCACAGCTTGGCACTGTGTCCCAGTGGGTGCCTGGAGGCCCATGCACTGACCTCATGCAAAGTCTTGGGCAAGGGCATTTCCCTGTGGGCAAGTGAGGGTGCTGTCACTTGTCCTGGTGACCATGCCACACTTCTGCTCACTCTGAGCTATGGTTAGTGAAGCCCAGGCTGCCCTCGTGTGCTGCTGGGATTTCTGTCTGTGTGGCTTTCACATCTGCACTTATCCTTCTTCACCTTTGTCTTGTTGGTTTGGCTCAGTGTCCTGTCCTGTGAAGGTCACTGTAAGTCTGGTTTATAATTTGATCTCCTAAGTGTCTCCAATGGTGGTGGGAGTCAGCCGGGGCAGGCCAGGCAGAGAGCTGCGCCCAGGCCTTGAGCTGCCTCCGGCTGCCCTCACCTATGGGGTGTAGGGCAGACAGTGGCTCACTCCCTTCATCACACCAGGCTGTTGTGACACAAGCAAAATGAAAGACCTGTCAACAAAGGTCATTTATCAGAAGCATGTAGGAAGCCGCTCATGTCTGATCTTTCAGGTTTTGCAGCCTTCCTAAGATTAAGGGGGTGCGGGGGGAGGGGGCGGTGGTGGTGGTGAAGCCCTCTGGCGTTCCTCTGGGTCCTGAAGATGTGAAGTTCCTGCAGTCGGGCCATCTGACTGCGCCCTTCCTCTCTTGCATTTTAGGATTTCTGGTTTGTAGGTCATACTTCTTAATGTATGTGTTGGAAGCAAATAAGAATTGTTCTGTTCTATTGTTTTTTTAAAAATGACTTTTCCTGCCATAACCAGTTTGGCTCAGTGGATAGAGCGTCGGCCTGCGGACTGAAAGGTCCTAGGTTCGATTCTGGTCAAGGGCATATACCTTGGTTGTGGACACATCCACAGTAGGAGATGTGCAGCAAGCAGCTGATCAATGTGTCTCTCTCATCGATGTTTCTAACTCTCTATCCCTCTCCCTTCCTCTCTGTAAAAAATCAGTAAAATATATTTTTTTTAAAATGACTTTTCCCAACTGCTGGGCCACTCCCTTCTTTCATTTTTTCCTGAATCTAGTTGAAAGAGTCTTAACCTTTTGTTGCCTCTAGATTTTTTTAAGTAACTAATTCTGTATTTGAGATTTTTAATTCTATCCATACAGGTTGATACAGTAGATGTGACTTCTTTCTTGGTAAGAACTCATTAGAGACTCTGCATGTGGCTCCCATCTGTTTGCACCTGTAGTTGAATCATTAGGATTTGTTATTTCCCAACTGTGTTTCCTTTGGTGGTTTCCAGCCCCAGCCTTGGTGAGCGCTGCGCCTGCTTTCCTAGCATCGAGGTCTGCCCAGCTAGGCCTGGTCTCCCAAGGTGGCATGGCTCCCCAGCCTCCTCCTCAGTCAGAACTCAGGGCAGCAGTGGCCCCGTGTATCAGTGAGGTAAGGAAGGTTTCGGTGTGTGCAGCAGAAGAACGACTGCAGCGCCGGCTGCCCCGCCTCCACATGGCATCCACTGGTGCACCTGCTCCATAACCCTCGTGTGGCCTGGGAGCACTGGGGCCTTGCTAGCTCCTCCAAGACTCACTGTCACCCATGCAGGGTTTGTCATTACAAATCGTTCTGCTTCTCCTCTGGCTGTCACATCAGCCATCACTTCAGGGACCATCGAGTCTCCTCTGTTTCAGCCCCTGAGTGTCCTTCCCTGCCTGTCACGTGGACGTGTAGCTCCACTGTCCCCTCCCCACCTCATGGTCTGTCTGCGCCGGCGTCAGCTGTGCAGTAGTGGTGGGTCCAGATGGGGCTGCCAGCCTGGGAAGGAACGGGTCCTCCCTTCTGGCCTCGATGGGGTGGGCTCCCTCGGTGAGATGTCTCGTCTCTCTGTTTTGTCTGAGGCTGTCCACCCAGCACCGTGTCCCACCCCCGTCTCCCAACCCCACTGTGGGCCTGTGGTGTGTTACTCGGTGGGTCACCTGGCGTTGACCTGGCCAGGTGTTGTCACAGATGCTCCGAGAGGCCACCCAGGTTGGGGCTGGCAGGGCAACTGCAAAAGGCAGCCTCACTGAGAAGCACCTGAGCCATCGGACACCCAGGGCAGTGCCTCGAGGGTGTCATTCCTCTGCAGCTGTTTGTCAGGCTCCCTTTCCCTTAACTGTTGCCTGGCCTTTGACTCCTGGCGGTCTTCGGGAGGCCTGGTTCTGGGTCATCATCCAGAAGGCTAGGCTGTCCTGCGACAGCGAGGCTGCAGCCTGAGACACCAGTGAGGGTGCCCGCAGGCCACAGGCCAGCCTCCCCTGGGTGTTTGCCTGAGGCCCTAACCCTTTAATTCCACCCACAGGTTCTCTCTGGTTTCAGGGGGCAGGTCTCCTTTTTAATATATTGGTTTTTATAGTCTTTTATTTGTATTCAATATCAGCTATTGCTTCCTCCTCAGTTCCAGAAAATCCTATATAATAAAACCCTAGTATGCAAATTGACCGAACAGCATAAAGACCAGTCGCTATGACGCACACAGGGGGAGCTCCGCTCAGCCAGAGGTCAGGCTCAGAGCCTCTCCCACCTCCACTGCGGGCGGGAGGTAAGGAGCAAGAGGTCCCGGACTGCGAGAGGGCACAGGCCGGGCTGAGGGATCCCCGACCCCCACCAGTGCGCGAAATTTCTAGACCTCTAGTATAGAATATTAGGAAAAAGAAACCAGAAAGCACCCAATATTTCCACACTAAGAAAATAATTTTTGTTAACACTCTGGTGCACTTCCCTCCATTATATGGTTTTATTGGGTGCTTAAGAATCCTTTGGCCTGCCCAGTGTGGCTCAGTGAGCATTGACCCATGGACCAAGAGGTCACTGGTTTGATTCCCAGTCAGGGCACATGCCTGGGTTGTGGGTTTGATCCCCAGTAGGGGGAGTGTAGGAGGTAGCTGATGATTCTCTTTCTCTCTCCCTCTCCCTTCCTTTCTCTAAAAAAAAAAATTTTTTTAAAAATCAATAAAAAATATATTTTTAAAAAAGAATCCTTTGTTTCTGTTTTCCTGCCTTTCCACTCAACCTTGCAGCCTAACTATGTAGAATACCCTTCACGCACGCACGTCTCCGGGCTGCAGAGCACTCGGGCAGCCAGTGCGGGCAGGCATTTGGGAGGCTGTGCTTTTAGAGCTGTTCTGAGCCTTGCTTTGCCAGGCATCCTGGTGTTTCGATGACTTGATGTTCTCAGAGTGGATCGGAGGCACCTCTGCCAGGCCCACCCTCCTCCCCCGTCACCCCTGGGACCCTCGCAGCACAGAAAGCTTCCTGCTTCTTTTATAAGTGACAAGTTGTACCCTTAACTCTGTATGTTTTGAGGTTGTTTATATGTGTCATTCCTGCACGCAGTGATTTTTTTAGTTTTTTGAAATCACTGATGCTCATCTGGGGTGCCAAGGTGTCAGTGAGTGTGCCTCACTCCCTGTCCTGCTGTGGGCAGAGCTACCCGGCCCAGACCGTCTTCTTAATCTCACCCCTCTCTTAACTTTCTTGGCATCGTGTCCTAGACATCGAGAAGAAGGCACATTTCAGACACCTGCGTTCCCATGTCTGTTTAGAGAGAAAGGAGTTTTCTTCACAGCTGGTTAGACCTGGTGCAGTGGCAGCCCTGGCGCTCACTGGGGGCAGCAGTGCCCACTCCCCCCTGGGCACCTCCCTGAGGTCAGCCGAGGCAGCCTGCCCTCCAGCCATGGTATCCCTAGGACTAGGTGTCTTTCTGCCAACGAGGGCTGGTGAGGTTGATTTCTCACCTTTCTCTGCCGTCCATCTGAATGGGTGTTGCTGGCTCCATAGCTGGCCTCTTGGCATGACCTGTGGCCACCGGCCCTCACAGCCTGGCCCTCATAGGGCAGCAGTGCTGGCCTTGCAGAACAGGTGCACATGGAGTGTGGTTGTTTGAGGGGACTGGCCCTCAGGAGGACACTGTAGCTCCCTAGGGTGGGCTGGTAACATTGAGATCATTTTCCATTTTATTTAGAATCAGCAACAGTTTTATATGAGTAGTAAAGTCTTTTGTTCATTCTTATTTCCTGAAGTTAAATTCCTGGGAGTGGGCTGGCTTGATCAGGAGCCACAGGTATTCCTGGTTGCCCTGTGGCCCCTGTGTGTCCTCTGGTGGGGGCACTGGGTGTTTAGGCCAGTGGGCTGCCTATGAGGTTGCCACCTCCAAGCTTCTGGGACAGCCCCCAAGCTGCCCAACCCCTCCTGCACACCCTGCCCCCCCCCCTCCCCCGGCTGTGGGCGGCACTAATCACCCTTTGCTTTCTTTTCCAATAGCGTTGTGTGGTACTGCGTTTTCTGAAGTTTCCTCCCAATAGGAAGAAGGTAAGATCTGTTGAGTTTGCCACCCAATCATTAAGACAATTACTTAGGAACACTTTGATTTTATTTCTGATGTAGAAGTATTAATGCTCATTATAGAAATTTAAATATGACACAGCATTCAGTACAGAACGTGGTGTGTCTGATTCCTGCAGGACCCAGTGCTTGGTGGGGTCACTGTGGGTCACTGTGGGGAGTCCTTGGGTGCTGAGCTAGGAATCGCCCGTTCAAGTCAGAGAGCCCTGTGGTTGGCGGGGACCCCGAGGGTCAGGTCTCAGCTTGGCGTTTCCCCTTCTGTGAACATGAAGTCTGGGATGCTGGCAGGTAGGCAGCATTGCAAGTCCCAACAGGCAGTTCAGATGGAGCCTTGGTTTCTATTTGCTGAGTCACCCAAGCCCAGGACCGTGGACACCCTCAGAGCTGTTGCTGCTCTGTAGCCCCGCTGACCTCTGGGAGGCAGTGACCCTGGAGGTGGGGTGTCGCTGTGGTATTCATCCAAATCTCAGTGGGTGCAGGGCTCAAAATACCAACTTCTGCGCATGGGCCACAAAGTTTCAATTGCACTCTATGTGCGCGCCCACACGTGGTATTTTATGGAAGAGCCACACTCAAGGGGCCAAAGAGCCGCATGTGGCTCGCGAGCCACAGTTTGCCGACCACTGCCCTAGGGGAAGGGAGGGAGGCACAGGAGCTGGTGTGAGCCCTGCTCCAAAGCAAAGGCAGGAGCTGTGGGCACGGCCCTCACAGTGGGGACGGGCAGGGGTGGGTGTGTGGGTGGGGAGTGGAAATTGGCCAGGACGGCCATTGTGTTTCTGTGGAATCCAAGTGGGGACCAGAGCCATCTGGGAGGCTGCCTCTAGCCCCCCTTCTCTACTCAGCATCTGCTGAGCCCAGACCCCAGCTCTGGTCAGCTTTTCCCATTTCAATTTATTGAGGCAACAAACAATTTGCCTTTACTTATTATGTCAGTGGTGTTACCAGTGGGAATCCTGTGGTCATGCTGTCAACAAGAGGAGCTTTTTGTCAGGAGCCCTGGGCCAAGCGTGTGGAGCCACTGGGTGTGCTCTGGGCTTTTCTGTTGGGTTTCATTCTCACACTTCACACTGCACTCGCCCTGGGATGCAGGCTGGGTCTGCGGGTGCTACAGGGCAGATGGCAGCCCAGCCCAGGACTTCCCTGGAGCTCAAGCCCTGTGTCAGCACCGCCTGGACTGCCCTTGAGGACAGCTCTCTCATTCCTTAGACCTGGGATGGACTCTTCGGAGTTCTCGCCTCCGCCAGGGGGAGGGACACAGGGCTGATTTCCTGTCTCACCCAAATCTCATAGCTTATTGGCTCCTTAAGAACATCTAATTTGGGAGAAAATATTTTATTCTCTATTTAGAGGCTGAAGAATAAAATGTAAATACCTAGTGATTTTTGGACAGGAGAGATTTTCAAAGTCGATTCCTTGGAAGCGTGCATGAGCTGCTGGTGGAATCCACTGGTGTTCCTGGCACAGGTGTGGGTCACGTGCGGCCCTGGATAGAAGGCAGAGGTGGGCCTGGGAGCTGAGGGGACAGAAGCTCCAGTGGGTCTGGCGGTGTCCTTGGCGAGGCTCACCTTCCTCCGCGTCCCGGACCGCCATCTCCACGGGGCGCCCTCTGTGTAGCCCTCCGCCTCGCGCCGCGTCAGTAAGGCCTTCCTGTGCTTCTTCATTGCAGGCCTCGGAAGAAGTATTCCAGCACCTACAAAGCATAGTGGACTTCGGCAAAAATGTCATGAAAGAGTTTTTGGGGGAGAACTATGTTCATTGTGGGGTAAGTGGTTTCACTTATGGAGTCTAAGTTCATGGGCAAGATCTGTCTCAATAGTACCAGCTTCTCAATTACAGTTTGGAACTCTGAGCTTGATAGTTCCTCATGTTAGAGTTTCCAAGTGGTTTGTTTTTCGCATTTGCTGTGTTGTGAGGTAGCAGAGCAGATAGTATTATTCCCATTTTCTAGCTGAAAGGCCTGAGGTTCAGAGAGACCACGTGATAACTGAGAGGGGTGCCTGTCACAAAGTCTGTAGTTTGGACACTTGGGGAGGAGACAGTGTAGGAAGCCACAGTGGCTTTGGTCCATGCCTGGGACAGCTGTCTTAGTATCTGTTGGCCTTGCTGCCTGTTTTAGATCAGGGCACTGAACAGACTAGCAGGTCTGTCACTTTGCACACAGAGAGCACTGCTCCGTTTTGTAGATCCTATGCCTTGCGTCTGTCCTAGGAAAAATGATAACTAGGAGGTTAAGGGCACCTGTGACGCTGAAGGGCTGCCAGGCAAAGTAGGTTTTAAATGACTCTGACAGCAAAGCATCCTCCAAGAAGGTCCCTTGACAAGCTTAGGATGTATGGAGGTGGCTGCGGGTGTCCCTCAGGCTGCAGCCTTGACTGAAGGCATCAGACCCTTTCCAGGGTGGCCCAGCCATGGAGCTGGCAGGGTGGTGCGGCTTTTGGCTGGGGTTCTCAGAACCTCCCCACATGGATTTACTGCAGGGCTCTGAGGGTCCTTGAGACTCAGCCCGGGCTCCCCAGCACTTGATCTGAGAGATGACCTGGCCCAAAGTTGTGTCTGTCCTTTCCACAGTATCCTGCGGCCTTGCAGGTCAGCCCACGCAGAGTGGAAGGCCTGCAGGGAGCTGCAGTCTGTGCGTGGAGTCCCAGGGAGCGGGCGCACCTGGCCCCTGTGGAGCCTCTCTCTGTATCACAGCGCTGAGGCTCCAGATCTTTCCCCTGGCAGGGCCAGTGAGGAGGGTGGTGGGAGGTGAGGGCAGCTGAGAGCGGCCAGGTAAGTGGGAGCAGCGTGAGGGAGTCCCCTGGCCCAGGGCACACATGCTCTGCCATCCACAGTGGATGGGTCCCTGGGTGCATGAGGTGAGGCCACAGGTCGCTTTCTGGGAACATGCATTCCATTGACACCTCCACATGGAGACAGCACCTGAGTGAACACAGCCTGTCTTGCCCCCAGGCAGACGCGATGTCCCCAGGGGACCGCCACTCAGGCCTGGCCCCACTGGATGGTGGCATCCAGAGCACAACTCTGATCCACACACGGCCAACAGGCAGAGTCAGCTTGTGTGGATGCCGCCTGATGGGAAGTGGGCCAGATGCAGCCGGGTGAGCGTTTCCCTCCTCTGTGTCCTGGGACAGATACAACCAGCCCCGTGGTGAGAGCACGAGGCCCAACAGCACCCACCTCGTGCCTGCGCTGCCTCCGGGCCTGCCCAGCTGGTTTGAGGACTGGTCTGGGCTGGTTTCCGTGTGAACTGGTGGTTAGCCAGTGGGGACGAGGCTGTCCCTTTATGCCTACAGATGTCTGCATCTTAAATCCTGGGGGTAGTGGAGACCCTGGTGAATTTTAGAAGTTTAGCCTCGCTTTTGTGGGCCTCAGTCTCCAAGTTTGGGTGTCCCTGGGCGGCCTGGACTTCACCTTTACCCTGACACGATGCGGGCATGGGCCAGGCCGGCACGTGTGGCAAGTGAGGGTGCCGTTCTCCTGAGGGAGCTCCTGGGAGACTGCGAACGTGCTGCTCCCCGTTGGCCTCCAGTCTGGGCGGCCCTTCTCCTCTGCAGCCTCCCGACATCCCTTTGAGGGCAATGCCTGTCATCAGGGAAGCCGGTGTGGCCACATCTTCCAGGTACACTTCCTGGGAGGGTTCTGTGCTCTTCCAGTTTCCCTAAGTTAATACCACATGCCCTGCTGATGCCCACTGCCTCCCAGGGCTCTGAGGCACCATCCGTCTGTCTGGCAGGTGATGGCACAGTTCACAGGGTCATGAGTCTGAAGCAAGGGTTGGTCAATGTAACCAAATGCTAGGAAGGGTGCCTACTACCAACATTTTATTCTGACTTAAAACACAAATAGAACTCATTATAAAATCAGGAATTTAAAGTTGCTTAAAGAAATAAATTCTACTTTTTACCTTGGTGACTATGAACTTAGGCGGGGGAGTCACAGACGTTTCAAGAGTAGCTGAGCCACTTTGAGCTCTGGACTCGACCCCCTCGGTCCTCTGCACGTGTCTGTCACTTGATGATTCCAGCAGGGCCTGCCTGCCTGCCTTTCCCAGCCGAGGCATCAGGACACCTGCGCAGGCCTGAGCTGCTGTGCTGGCCCTGCCCCCAGCCTTGCCCCAGGTTGCGGGGCTGAGGTGTTTCTCTGAGGGTGGGTCTGGAGGCAGTTCTTTTTTAAAATTTTTTAAAAATTTTTATTGATTTCAGAGAGAGGAAGGGAGAAGATATAGATAGAAACATCAATAATGAGAGAGAATCATTGATCAGCTAGGGGATCGAGCCTGCAACCCAGGCATGTGCTCTTGACAGGAATCAAACCTGGGACCCTTCAGTCCCCAGGCTGACGCTCTATCCATTGAGCCAAACCAGCTAGGGCTGGAGGCAGTTCTTTATCTTTCCTGCACAATGTCTGCTCACTTCCTACCTTTGGTTTGTTTAAAGTGGAGTGAGACCTTGGGCTTTTGTGAATGTCTAAGTTTTGAATTTTCAAATGTTTATAATTTCCCCTCTTCCATTGTTTCACCTTACCTAATTCAGAACTAAATTTTTAGCAACTCACCTTTTATCAGTTTATAGCATGTGTAGGTAAATGACAAAATTCATGAGGTCAACTCACACAGCAGGCTGGGAAGTGGACAGTTGAAGCCAGGCCCACTGCAGGAGCACGTGGGAGGCCCCGGCAGGCCTCAGCGTTCACATCCTCGGCTGGCCTCCTGTGTCCTGTGGGGCTTCCCCAGAGGGAGAGCTCTGCCACCCTGGCAGCATCAGGACGATGGTGAGCAGCATGAATTAAGACTCCTTCTTCAGGAAATTGCAAGGAGCAGCAACGTGGAGAGAAGTTGCTCTTTGTTTTTTGCCCAGATGCACAGCCTGCTGGGCCCTGAGTCCCGTGGCGGAGGGCCCTCAGGGGTCTCACCAGAGATTAGTATTCCATCAGACCCTTTTCCTTGAGCTGCTCCTCAGGGGGGAGTGGGAGAGGCTCAGGGTGTCTGCGGAGACAGCTGCTGGGAGCATTCGTGCCGGCAGTGAGGCCCTCCAGCCCTGCTTTGCCGCATGGACACCACGAGGAGAGGCCAGGGCTCGTGAGGACACTGACTGGGTGATGGGCCGCTGCTGGTCACCACCCGGCACCCAGCCACTCAGGAGGGCTGCTGCTCCCGGGGCTTCCGTTGAATTGGGACATGGCCTTCAAGTAAAAGAGCAGCCTTTCTTCCTGAGGCCCACATACTTGTCCTGAGGACTTGTTAATGTGCTGAAATACACGCCACATAAATGTACCGTTTGCACCACTGTGCGTGTGCAGCTCCGCGGCATCAAGTACGTTCACAGTGCTGTGCGGCTCACACTGCGGCTGTTTGTCCTTACAGGAGGTGGTCCAGCTGCCTTTAGATTTTGTGAAGCAGCTCTGCTTAAAGATACAGTCTGAACGACCAGGTAAGGGTTTCTAACTTACACATTTCCTTTGTCATTTAAGATGCCCGATGTGAAGTGTGTGACATTTTTCCTCATGTCAGGTAGATGCAGCTTTCAGCATTTCTTTTGCCAGAAACTTGATCATCAGGGTAGAGACCCCAGGAGCTTACGAAGACAATTCTGTCATCAGATCCCCAGGCCACTGCAGAGAATGTATGACCAGGGACTAATTAATACTAAGAAACATGCAGTTGGGAGCGAGAGGGAGCCGAGGGAGTTAGGGGAGACTCAGGGAAGGGAAGGGAGGCTGCAGGAAGGCTGGAGGAGTCAAGGAAACCAGGTAGACCCACACCGCAAAGGAGGGCCAGGCCCACAGAATCTGCAGCCGGAGAACCTGCCCCCAGCGTACCTGCCCCATCACCTCCCGTACCTCCCCCATCACCTCCCGTACCTGCCCCATCACCTCCCGTACCTGCCCCATCACCTCCCGTACCTCCCCCATCACCTCCCATACCTGCCCCATCACCTCCCGTACCTGCCCCATCACCTCCCGTACCTCCCCCATCACCTCCCGTACCTGCCCCATCACCTCCCGTACTTTCTTGAACTTAGTCATGGCTTAGTGACAGAAGCCATGTCAAAGCCTTGCCTTTCAGGGTCAGAGACAAAGAGGTAAAGCCCCTATTGAGATGGACATGCCTCCGCCCAAAACACAGCCAGGCAGCCACGGTGTGCAGTGGCCGGTGGAGAAGTCTCCCTTGTTTGACAGGAGCAGGCCAGCCCCCAGGGCACCGTGCCTGGAGCCCCGGTTGAGGAGGCCTAGAGGAGTGGGCTCCGTGTTGTGAGGGCTGAGGGAGGAAGGAGGTCATAGCCACGTTGAAGCCAGGACAGCGTCTTAGCTGTTTCCTCCTCTAGAGGAAGACAGACTGAGACTTGTTCTAGGTTCTGCTGTGCAGCTGCAATGCTGCTCAGTACCATTATTTTATTTTAGAATTAGTAATTAAACGTATGCTACTTAACAGTGATAAGTACTGTGCCCCATTGTAGTGATGACTCGCCATCAGCCTTGTTCTGTGAAAGGGGAAAGGCCAGCCTCACGTGGGGTCTGGAGGTCACATGTGCCTCCGTGACTGCCCACAGCACAGCTTCCCGCAGCCCCTCTGGGGAGCTGTGTGTGCGAGCCTCCCACGGAGCCCGCAGGAGCAGGGAGAGGCTGCTGCCTCCTTCCTCTGAGGTCCTGGGTTAAGGGGCTCACAGAATTTGGGGGCAGTCCCCAAGGCCACCTCACTTCTGATGACAATTGAACATTTGGGGGTCCCCAAGACCAACCTCAGGATCTGATAATTTATTAGAAGGACCTATAGAACTCATTGTCATTGTCATGTTATGGCTGGTCGCAGCTCAGGGACACAGGTAAGACCAGCAGGAGGAAGAGGCGCTGGGGGCAGGTCCAAGGACACGGCATGTGCTTCCCGGTGTCCTTCCCCCTGGAGTCGTGTGGGGTGCGCGTCCTGCTTGCAGCAGCAGTGTGTGAGCGCATGGAGGAGTGCCACGCACGGAGGCTGCCCAGCTTGGTGGGAGGGTTTTTGGAGGGTTGGGCATTAGACACAGCTGACTAGCTGCCCTCAGCCTCCAGCTTTCTGGAGGTCGAGCTGATACGGTGAGGCCCAACCCCCACCCTGAGTCACAGTTGTACTCCTGTGACTCAGAGGCCTCCGGCAGGCAGCACTTTCAGCTGGAGGCGGCCGCCCAGGAGCTGGAGGCCAGGGCTGACCTTTCCTCCACAGGAATTGGCCAAGTGGCTGCAGGGGCGCCTCGTATCCCTGGCACTGATCCTCAGGTATTTCCCCTCTGTCTTCTAGAATCTCGCTGTGACAAGGACCTGGACACTCTCAGTGGTTATGCTCTGTGCCTTCCCAATTTAGCCAGACTTCAGACGTACCATTTTGCCGAGCACCGGCCGATTCTGTGTGTAGAGATCAAGGTGAAGTTTTGTAAAGGGGAGTGGTGTGGGGAGAAGGGAAAGGTGGGTTCAAGTTGTGAGTCCAGGGCACCTGCCAGAGCACACCTTCCCACTGAAGCTCCTGCTGTCTCCACGGCCCCGCAGCCCTTCTCAGGCCCAGCATTTCCTAGAGCAGTGGTTCTCAACCTTCTGGCCCTTTAAATACAGTTCCTCATGTTGTGACCCAACCATAAAATTATTTTCGTTGCTACTTCATAACTGTAATGTTGCTACTGTTATGAATCGTCATGTAAATATCTGATATGCAGGATGGTCTTAGGCGACCCCTGTGAAAGGGTCGTTCGACCGCCAAAGGGGTCGCGACCCACAGGTTGAGAAGCGCTGTCCTAGAGACTCCGTCTGCTTCCCGCTCCTTCCATGGTGCCACCTGCTCTGGTTTCTCCCACCGGCCAGCCCAAGGGACATGGCTCCCCAGGCCCCCAGATTCAGGCCTGTTTCCAGGTGTTGCGAAGGAGAGACAGCGGGACAGGCCCTGGCCGACAGCCACCAGCAGAAGTGCTTTGGATTCCACCCTCCCCGTTTGCTTTGGAAGGTGCAGCTCGCTAGGCCCCCCTGACCACTCCCTCTGCCATGCCCTGTGGGCCCTGTGGTGACACTACATGCTGTGTTCCAGGAGGTCAGCTTGAGGGCTGCCCTTCAGACTGGAGGGCACTCTGTTCCTTTGCTTCTGTCCTGCTCATGTGAAACCTCCCTCGGTTTGTCGTGGCCAGGAGTCCTGAGCTGGGGGACAAGGGGTGTTGCATGTCTATTGGAGGAAGTGATTGCCGGATAAGGGCCAGGCCCCTGGCTTCATTCTGCTGCCCAGTGTCCAGGGGGCTGCTCAGGTCTTCCTCAGGAAGCTTCCCGGATGTCCCAAGCCATTGTTTGTCTCCTTTTCCCAAACCTCTTTGGTGGTGATTTCCGGGTCACACCCTTGACCCTGAGCACTCACAACCCCTGTGCTCAGTGGGGACTGTGGACCTGCTTCTCCAGAGGGTGAGTGTCTTGGCCTCACAGAGACATGGCAGCTCTCCAGGGCCACGTGCTAAATTCAGGTCTTACATGTTGTATGTGCCCAGAAACCAGGGGTTTCAAAAGGCACCCGGGGTTCCAGACGTTTTGGGAGCCTAGCAACCATCAGATGGGCCCTTCCTGTTCATGACTTCTTGTCAGAGGGAATGAGGTCCTGCTTCTTGGAGCTGGGAGCACTCCCAGCATCTTTCCAGTCTCGTTTGTCTTGAAAACACAAAGCGACTCTGTGTTGTGCTTTTCAGTCCAGCAACTGAGGACCAGTGAGAGTTCTGACTCAAGCAGCAAAGAGATGTTTAGATGATACGACAAGAGAAGCATCAGGGGCTAGAGAGAAAAGCAGCTTTGGGGACAGTTCTGTCCAACACGGCTGCTGCTCCCAAAGTTGCCTTGTAGTTCTATGTCTGCTTAAAGCAGCGGTTCTCAACCTGTGGGTCGAGACCCCTTTGGGGGTCGAACAACCCTTTCACAGGGGTCGCCTAAGACCATCGGAAAACACATATATAATTACATATTGTTTTTGTGATTAATCACTATGCTTTAATTATGTTCAATTTGTAACAATGAAATTGGGGGTCACCACAACGTGAGGAATTGTATTAAAGGGTCGCGGCATTAGGAAGGTTGGGAACCACTGGCTTAAAGGTATGCGATTTCTCCCTAAGCAGATTTTCTTATTTATTTTGCAGCCAAAATGTGGGTTTATTCCTTCCTCCAGTGCCGTGACGCATGAGATGAAGCACAAGGTGTGCCGCTACTGCATGCACCAGCACCTCAAGGTGAGCACTGGCCAGCCCACCCGCCTGCAGCGCCGCTGGGAGGGCGCCGGCCTGCAGTGACCACCCAGAGTTTTCAAAAGAGTCGAAGAAACTGTAGATGCTTATTATTTACCTCACCTTTTTGTTGTTCATTTTAAATTGAGATAAAATTTTTTGCCCTAAGATTCACCCTTTTAAAGTGTATAGATTGAGTATATTTTAGTATATTCACAAAGTTGTACAACCATCACCACTACCTAATTCCAGAACATTTTCATCACTTCAAAAAGAAATTCTGTCCCCAGGAGCAGTCCCTGTCCAGTCCCCTGTCCTGCCAACCCCTGTCAACCTCCTATGTGTCTGGATTTGCCTGTTCTGGACAGTCATACAATGTGTGCCTTTTGCAACTGTCTTTTTCCACTTAGTATAATTATATTGAGTCCATCCATATAGTAGCATGTATCAGCACTTCATTCCTCTTGTGGCTGATTAATATTCCATTGTCTGGGAACATTTTGTCCATCTACTCATCTGTTGATGAACATGTGACTTTTTTCCACCTTTTGGTTATTGTGAATAATGTTGCTATGAATATGCATGTACATGTGTTTCTTTGAATCCTGTTTTCAGTTTCCTTGGGTAGTGTGCCGAGTCGGCACGGCCATGGGTGAGCCTGAACTCAGGCCCCTGTTCCCCATACTCAGCCCCATGTTGGGAGCCATATGTGCCGCGCCAGCACAGACAGGTTCAGTGAGCCTGAGAGGGGGCGGTGAAGGATTGAGAAAAGACAGATAAGAGAAAAAAGCTGGGTCTGGGTGGGACAGTGTCCTCTCTGATGGAGAGCTAGCGACAGCACCACGGCCTGCAAGCCGCGTCTTTATTTTATAGCCACATTCCACAAGGCAAAGTAAGGGCGTGGTCAAGATGTTTACAACATTCTTGCGGTTTCGAATCTACTCAATTACATGCACCTGAACTCTATCAAGCCCACATCACTCAGCCACAGTGGGACCACAGGTGCAGACCATAGGTTCAAGCTTACAAACTATAGTCTTTGGCTATAATTGTGCTGGGGGCTTGCACGTGGCTTTGCCACAAGAGGATTGTGCCCTCTCATTAGTCTCAGGCTTGAACCTGTTCAAATGCTGTAGCTGCTCTCCACAGGGTAGATTCCTTGGAGTGGAATTACCGGGTCTTAGGGAAGTTCTATGTTTAACTTTTTGAGAAAACACCACACTGTTTTCCCCAGCCGTTGCACTATGTGATAGTCCCATCAGCAATGTATGAGTGTTCTAATTTCTCCACGTCCTTGCCAGCCCTCATTGTTCTTGTTTGTGGTGAGTGTGCAGTGGTAGCTCATTGTAGTTTTCATTTGCGTTTTTCTAACAGTGATGGTCAGCATCTTTTCATGTGCTTATTGTGTCATTTGACTATCTTCTTTGGAGAAATATCTATTCAAGTTCTTTGCCCATTTTGAATTGGGTTTTTCTGTTGTGGAGTTTACATGTTCTTTATGTATTATACTAGAGTCCTGATGCACAAAATTCATGCAAGGGGCTCAGCCCTCGCAGCCCCAGCTTTGTCTGGAAGGTCGTCCAGAAGGACATCTGGAAGGATGTCTGGAAGGTTGTTCGGCTGTCTGGTCTAATTAGCATATTATGCTTTCATTATTATAGATGTGATTTGCAAATATTTTTTCCTCTTCTGTCATTGCCTTTTACTCGTTTTTCTTTTTAATATTGTTTTTATTGATTTCAGAGAGGAAGGGAGAGGGAGAGATAGAAACATCAATGATGAGAGAGAATCATTGATCGGCTGCCTCCTGCACGCCCCCTATTGGGGACCGAGCCTGCAACCCGAGCATATGCCCTTGACCGGAATCGAACCTGGGACCCATCAGTCCACAGGCTGATGCTCTAGCCACTGAGCCAAAACGACCAGTGCTACTCTGTTGATAGTATCCTTTGATGCACAAAGTTTAAAATTTGGTAAAGTCTATTTTGTCTACTTTTTCTTTTGTTGCCTGTGCTCTTGGTATCATATCTAAAAAATCATTGCCTAACCCAAGATCATGAAGCTTTTCTCCTATTTTCTTCTAAGAGTTTTATAGTTTTAGCTCTTATGATTAGGTCTTTGATCCATTATGTGTTAATTTTTTTTTTTGTTGTTTTTACTATGAGGGAACATTTATTAAAGCTGAGGACAGTAAAACAAGAAAGGGCTTAGCATATGGTCAATGATTCTCTCTCATCCTTGATGTTTCTAGCTCTCTCTCCCCTTTCCTCTCTGAAATCAATAAAAATATATTTTTTTAAAAAGGAGGAAGAAAGGACTTAGCATAGAAGCAGCAACAGGAGAGCCAGGCTGGGCTGCCTTAGGTCTCTGGGAAGGCAGAGAAAAGCGGGCCTTGGGAGCAGGTTCAGGGGTGAGCCTGGGATGAGGGCTGCTGCCCATTGCTCCCCAGGTTGCAAGCCTCGTGGGGTCCTTTAGGTTTAGGAGATGCCTGCCTGTGGGGGAAGGAGAGGGGAGAGAAGAGGGAGAAGGGAGTGAGGGGGGCTGCTCCCCAGAGGAAGAGCACTTAGAGTTAATTTTTGTATATGGTGTTAGGTAAGGATCCAACGTCATTCTTGTGCAATGTCAACGTCATCCCAGCACCCTTTGTTGAAAAGACTGTTCTTCTTTTTCCATTGAATGGACTTGGCACCCTTATTGAAGATCTTTTGGCCATATATGTGATAGATTATTTCTGGCTCTCTAGTCTATTTTATTGGTTTATATGTCTGTCCTTATGCCGGTGCCATTCTTTGTTTGCTGTAGCTTTGTAGTAGGTTTTGAAATGAGGAAGTGTTAATCCTCCAGCTTTGTTCTTTTTCAAGATTGTTTAGGTTATTTGGTGACCTTTACAATTACGTATGAATGTGAGGATTGGATTTCTTATTTTTTCAAAACATGACTTGGAATTTTGACAGAAATGGCAGGAATCTGTGGATCACTTGGGTAATATTGCCATCTTAACCATTATAGTTTGCTAGCATTAAGTATATCCACATTGTCGTGCAGCCATCTCCAGACCTTTATTCATCCTGCAAAACTGAAACTATACCCATTAAACGGCCCCACATGTCCTCTTCTCACCCCTAGAACCGCCATTGCAGTTTTTACCTTTATGAATTTGACTGCTGTTGGCACCTCGTACGTGTGGAATGAGACAGTGTTTGTCTTTGTGACTGGTTCACTTTAACTCAGCATAGCGTCCTCCAGGTTCCTCCGTGCTGTGGCATGTCTCAGAGTTCCCTTCCTTTTGAAGCTGAATAATCCACTGAACTTGGGCTGTTGTCAATGATGCTGCTATGAATAAGAGTGTACAGATAGCTCTTGGAGACCCTGCTTTCCGTTTTGTGAGTAAATACCCAGAAGTAAGAATTGCTAGGTCATATGGTAAATCTGTTTTTAATGATGAGGAACCACACTCTGTGGTTCATAGAGCTGTTCCAGTTCACATTCCACCACAGCACGTTTCCCCACATCCTCACCAAAACTCGCTATTTAAAAAAAATATATATTTTATTGATTTTTTGCAGAGAGGAAGGGAGAGGGATAGAGAGTTAGAAACATCGATGAGAGAGAAACATCGATCGGCTGCCTCCTGCACACTCCCTTCAAGGTATGTACCCACAACCAAGGTACATGCCCTTTTACCGGAATTGAACCTGGGACCCTTGAGTCCGCAGGCCGACGCTCTATCCACCGAGCCAAACTGGTTAGGGCACTATTTTCTGTTTTTGATAGTAGCCATCTTAATGAATGTGAGGTGAGAAATGCAATTGGTTTTTGCATATTGATATTTTTTAAGGAAAAGAGGCTTATTTCTTTTGTGCACAATGACAAGAGTGGTATCCACCACCTGTTCATCCTGTGCCCCCCATCCTGGCTGGTGCAGGGCACTGTCGTAGCTGGCATTTCCCCTCTTCCCTGTGAACAGCACAGCTGGTGGCAGATGCGATGTGCACAGCTCTTCTTAGACTGTAGCAGCTGCCCAAGTTCTGACGGAGGGCAGGGTGTGGAGTGAAGCTGGGTCTCAGGGGCATCATCTGAAAGAACGGAGATAGAACGCCAAGGCTAGTGACCCCTCTGTGCGGCCAGTTTCTGACTCCCTCTTCTGAAGCCTTTCTGCTGTTCCCTTCCATTGGAGCAATTCCTGGTCCAACTCCCCCAAAGCCAAGGCAGAGGTTGGACTTTCTTCTGTTTGGCTTATTTACACTTAAGACCGTCAGTCAGAAAAAAAATTCAGTCTTGATCCTCACTGGCCTGACAACCTTCTGTTGTATATTTTTTAGTGTTCAGTGGAAAATAGAAACAATTCAAAGTAGAAAAGTTTAATACAGGACATGAAGTGTATGCAGACTCATTGGAAAGCTGGAGTGAGCCATAGGTGGTTCTCCAGGAATGAGAACAGCGGAGACCTGCCGCCTCAGGGAGGTGATGGAGAGCCCTGCAGAGCTGCATCCAGGGCAGGGAGGCCCCACAGGCTCAGCTGCTCCGGAGCACCCCAGAACTCAGGATGGGACCCTGGGAAGGAAAGCCCACCCAGAGTGAGAGCCTGCGGTGTGCTGTGCAGTGACCTTTTATCCTGTCACCCTTTGATGAACTTGTTTATTTGCTCTAACATTTTTTGATGGTTTCTTAGGATTTTCTATATACATGGTCAGATCACTTGCAAATAGAGATAGTTCTGGTTCTTTCTTTCCAACCTGATGCTTTTTGTTTTTCTTCCCTAATTGTCCTGGTTAGAACTTGCAGTACAATATTGTGTAGGAGGAGCAAGAGTGGACACCCTATCTTTGGGGGGACACTTTCACTTTTCCACATTCTGTGTAATGTTCACTGTGAGTTTGATACAGATGTTCATTTTGAGTGCTGCTTGAAAGGATGGTGAATTTTGTCAAGTACTTGTCCTATATTGAAATGATCATGAGGTGTTTTCTTCTGTTAACATAATGAATTACATTGATTTTCATATG